ATTTTAGGCATTTAGGGACGAGTCATAACACTGTACTGTGGTCACAGATGACTGTCTAGTTTTAGACCTTTAAGAAAGGCTAAGCAAGCTGTTTCGTAATGTCCCCATATGTACTACTGATTTCCTGTAAGTGCCAGAGAATCAGTTTTGATTCTAGATATGTTTTAAGTAAGTTTTAAGGAGAGTTCATGGGGAGCTTGGATAGCACCATACTTAGTCTTAAGACAGTGACTTTGCTCATGAGACAAAGGGTAAATGACAATAGTCAGTGTTACATAATCTTATAAATAGATTAGGATTGTTTCAAAATTTTTTATAAATTGAAGAGAATAAAAGCAATAGGAATTCCACCTTCTAAAGGACTTGTCTTTAGAAATATGGTCATGCTGGCTTTTAAGATCCTTATGGTTTTTGTGTCTGTGCTATGCAAGGTGGTGACCTGAAAGCTAAATCCTGTGGTTTGAGGTCATCTCAAAACAAGATGTTATGTAGAGGTATAAATACAGGCTTTTGCCCTGGCATACCTGGTGAAGTTTAAGAGTATACTCAATGTATTGCCTGCCTTTCTGCTTATGCAATTTAAAAATTATTATTACCTATTTTTTGCTTTTTTCCCCTCCATATAGCATTTGCCTGGAGCAATAGCTTCCCTTCCACATACTTATTTTTAATTACTCGTGATTGTTAGTGTTGAGTAATTTTGTTTGCTTAGGAAATCCCCTTGCAATGACCTATAAATTTTACAATAATTATGAAAGAAACTTTAGGCCTACCATTTAGATTGTCATTTTGTATTTTGCTCATGATAACCTAGTACAATGTTCTCTTCTAGCGATGTATTAATAGTGTCCTCATCTAAAAGCAATGTTAATTTATTTCCTCATTTTATTTTTAACATCCTTTTCGGATGGAATTCAAGATAAATACAGAATAATGCCTGAAGTGTGTTCTTTCTGTCTGTCCTTTACAAATCTATAGCTGGATGGCTCCCTGCACCATGTTGCCTTTATGCCAGCCCAGAGAGTAACTATTTTGCATAGCAGTGACTAGTTTGCAGAGGCAGTCATGAAACAGAGGACAGGCATTATGTTGAGGAGCTGTAGGGCTTTCATACAGATGTGCTGTACTGTCTGAAGGTATTTAGTCATGCAAACACCAGTCCAGTTTTATACTAGTATTTATCCAACATGTCTGAATCGATATTGCTGCATCTATGCAGAACTCCCCAAAAGTCGATGATCCTTTAGTTGTTTTGTAGCTTTGACAAATGGTCTGTGGTGGTATCTGCAGTGGTGTACAGTTACCAAGAGATTACAAGCCCTGACATGGACTGGTGTGAACACAAGTCCTGTTTTGCTTCACAGGTGGTAACCTTCAGCAGAAGAATGGTACAGGGTGGACAGGTGGGGGCAGTAATATCTTGAAGTACTGCAGCCAAATCTGTGAGAACCTGTTTGTTTAAAACCTTTGCATGAACTCATTGACCATGAATTTGAAAGAGGAAACAGCAGCAGCCTGTCGTGATGATAGAGATTGCATAGCAATTGGAAACAAAAGACTTCTGGATTAACATGGCAGAATTTGGGCAGCTTCAATGGAACTACACTGAATTTATTCCAATAGAGCTGAAGGCGTGGTTTTGCCTTCAGTTTTTTGTCTTAGTTGATAAAGAATATCCACTTGCAGTATCGTAAAGTAAGAATGTAGTAACCTCCTGATTTTGTGGCATTTCAGAAAGAAATTGAATATGGTACACAGTAAAGGAAAGCCATAGAAAAGATCTTGTTTTGTGTCTTAAGATTTTAAAAGATAAAATCACAGCCTTTAAGACTCTTGTATCTTTAAAAAGTAAAAATATCATTTGTTTAAAAATACCCTCAAACAAACAAAATTTACCCCTAGAACTGGGACATGAAAATGAGACATGATTTAACTTAATTATAAGCCTTGAACAAGGAAACAGCATGTTCTCAGAATTCTTAATTACAGCATTGTTTTTAGCTTGAGGTTTTTTGTGTGTGTGTTGCTCCAGTCAGTCTTCAGTAGAAAGAATAAAAGGCAAAGAAAACACGGAAGTACAGTAAACATCTTGAAATGCAGTTTCCTTCTTACTGGGAAGCTACCACATGACTTGCTGAAAAAGACTGATTTAAAAAAAAAAAAGGCCAGCTTGCATTGTTCTTTGGTAGCATTCAAACTTCTCTGTAAATCTGCTTCTTGAGAAATAATATCCTACAAGATGTCTCAAGCAGCACTACAGTGTTTAAATGCTCTTAGTGTGGTATGAGTGAATTTAAGGAAAATAAACTGAATTGTTTGATTGTCCTGAAAGCATTACTCATTGACAGATGAAGGCAGAAACAGAACAAGGCTTTCTACTGAACTTTTAAAGATGAGAAGATATTAATTTTGCCTGAATTCTACAACATGCAAAGCCAGTTGGGGTAACGATAGTCTTTTTTGCCAGTCTCACTAAAAGATGGCTGGGAGTTGAACTGAAATGGGACCTGCATTTCAGTTCATCAATATATTGAATGTGGGTTACTCAGTCTTAAAAATACACAGGAACTGTTCCAACAGCTAAATTTCTGCACAGACTTTTGCTGCCAAACAGTATGGGTCCTAGCCATCCCTTTTTGAAGTTGGTAGCAGACATTTTTTCGGAGTGACAAAAAGATGATCAGCTACTGTTTCTCTCCTTGGACCAGTATTTCTCAGAACTGTGTCCCCCTGTGCTCTCACAGGTGAAAAAAAATCACCTGTGGTTATATTGTGTACTTTTTCTTTATATGGTAGATGAATGGAAGGACTGGCATTTTTATGTTGTATTGAAATGAAGGGTTTTCAGCTCAAAAAGATTTGGATCAAAAACATAAGGCATGTTGACCATGTTCAGTAATGTTTTAAAGACATATCTAGGGTGCATTCTTATGGTGTGCTGAATTAGGTGTGTGAAAGCCAGGAGCTAAACCAAAACTCTGGTATCCTTATTCTTGCTGCAGTTCACTCTTGCACTCTGCTGCACACCAGGAGCAGGAGCATGTTTTTGTGTCAGTCGCACTTTATTCATATGTGATTTGATGTATGAATTGTATGTATGTTGTTAAAGTAATTAACTCTTCAGCATCCCAAGGTGCTTTATGTATTCTTTCCTCCTCTAATTTTACAGTCTATAATTATAGACAATAAGAAAACATAAGGACAGAAATAGAAAAACTGAATCAAGTCCTGCAGTTAACTGGGGTTTCTTTGAATGCTATTGGTTCATTGCATTTCTATACAGAATCATGTGTATGCACCTACATGCAGTTAGTAGTTTGCTTTCTTTGTATGCACAGTGACCTGACTCTTCTGTTAAAAAATTCTATATTAACAGGAAGATAAGTGACACTACTGGTAACATTACTTCTTTAAAGGAATTTGCAAGGTTTTCTGATTTTTAAGCATATTTCACCTTCTCACTTACGTGTATTCTGAGACAGTAAATTACCCGCCTGACCCAGATTCTGAGCTGGTTTATAAATGAAATAAAAATTACACAAATCCAGATGGAACATTCATTTAATCAACTATGCTTTAAGAATAAACAACACACCACCACCACCACAAAAAAAAATCCCAAACCCTAACCCCATGCCAAAATGCTACAAACCATAAGCTAAGGTCATGGAGTGCCTGCTGAAATTTCAGAGCGTTTTCAATTTCATGTTGAGCTGTATGAGGGAATAGAGTCATTTGTATCTGAAGAAAAGCAAACTAACTGCTTTCTAATCTGCTCACAGCTGAGCAGGTATACAGCGAATCTAGTCTTGAAAGTTCTTAGGTACTCTTCTGTTTTGTGCTGTCACAACCTTTGGAAGGTACATTGGCTAGCCACTCTTGCAATTGCGACAGTCTTTGAAGACTGAGCGCTTTACTTGGTGGATTGCACAGCTGTTTTCCACCTGCTGTACTGCTTCAGCTGGAGGAACAGCTAGACAAAGTGCAACCCTGCCATGGTGTGAAACGTCTCCAATTCACGGAGGTGATCTAGGCCTCTCCGCACCAGGGTTCAGTAGAAACAGAGCATGCAGCAGGGTGGCTGGCTGCCCCTAGAAGAATAGCTCAGGCCCCTGCTTGCCTTTTGTTCCTTCCACTGAGCCATTTAAGAACTTGTAGCTTTAATTTCTGGTTTTGAGCTGTGAATGAAGGGATTAAGCTAGTGTGGGCATGAAGGAAAGCTACAGTGTGGTTTGGAAATCATACTTCGGGTTGTTTCTTTGGAGCTGACCCTTCCGCTCCTTTGCAGATGAACGTACTCAATTTTTATAAACAAAATCCACAGCAACAGTGCTAGCACTGCTTTATGAGAAACCAGAGTACGTACTTTCACAGTGAGATGTCCATGATGTTCTGGTTTTATACACCTCTGTAATTTTATGGGAGAAAGGACATGTAAGTCTGAGGCCACATAAAATCTCATGACTTGAGGGAGCCAATACTTAAAAAGTACCTGTTGCAGTGTTGTCACAGGTCTTCCTCATTCCTCCTGCTTCCCTGCAGTTTTCTAGAGCTCTGAGTAAATTTGCTACATCCGAAAGACTTGTAACCTTATACTACTCCTATTACGGATGTTCCACTGCGCCTCTTCTTGGAGCAAGAACACCCCACGCTTTTTGTTCGTTCTCCTGCCCTTTATGCGTATGCCCTGCTCGATAAGCCTTCCTGTCCTCCCTCACGTTTCGCCGGCTTGTCTTACAGCTGGTTGGGCGGGGGGGGGGTTTTGTGGGAGGGCCC